GTGTGTGTGTGTGTGTGTGTATGTGTGTATGTGTGTGTGTGTGTGTGTGTGTGTGTGTGTGCGTGTGTGTGTTTCTGTGTGTGTGTGTGGGGGGGGGGTGTAATGCTGCCCCTGTGATCGATTTATGTATAGGCTTAACGAATGAAGCGATGAGTACGCAAGACAAAAAATGCTTTAAAGTTGATAAACCCCGCAGCTAAATGCCTATATATACCTATTGTGAGCTTGCATAGGTTGCAAAAATTCACTACAACTCATTTGTATTGCTACTTTCATAACATTTCTTTTCAAAATTTATACGAAATTTCTTCTTTTATGAACGTAGCACTACAGTGATGTTTACACATCCGGGACACAGGGAGCGATCGGCTCGATTCATTAACAGTTCCTTTCTATGATAAAACAAGTTATAATTCATTATTCGATGTTTATTCAGTACAAAATTGTGAAATTTGTTTAAATCATATCGTTATCTATATTACTTATTCAATCAGGAAACAAATCATTCAGGGCCGTAGCCTGCGGGGCGGGGGCAGCTGCCCCATAGATTTTGAAGCAAAATTTAAAAAAATGAATTGTTCTAATAAAAAAGGATTGTCGTAGTCAGAATGAAGCGGCTTTTACAGTACATGTACTCAAAAGTGCCTCAAATGCCATCTCCTGCGATCTACATTTTCAATTTTTTTTTGAGGGAGGACCCCCAGACCCCCAACCTGTTTCTCACCCCTCCTTGAAATCCTGGATCCGCCACTGCCCCTCCCCCCTAAGAATTCGCTCAGCCTACGGCCCTCGATATAGTGTTTTCGTTCCAGCAACTATTTGCGCTAGCGTGGGGCTACTGCTAGCTGTGTATCAAAACCGCGTCCGACAGACCTTTCAAAATGGTCAACTTCGGAGCACATTTAATTCTGGCTCAATGAGAACATTTCGTGATGTTTGCACGCTGCAAGTTTGCTCACAGTAGGTCTATATAGGCTGTTTGTTGCCAGGTAAATTCGTGTAAATCCGTGTAAATCCAGGTAAATGAATTTCGTGATAGCAGTTTCAATTTCATCATTCATCAATAGATTACTTAGCTGAGGCTGACACAGAGAGCGTTGAAAGTGCAGAGCGCAAACATGCGTACACAATGATTGTTTGCAATGCAACTGCGTTTAGGAAACCCTATATGTATAGCCAACAAGAATAAGTGAAAGGTACGCAGAAACGGCGGCGCGCAGCGAAACATTATTCTTGGTACGTCGCAGTAGATGAATAACAAATAACACATCGAGCTGCCTCGTTCGCCGTTATGTAATATATCTCCATATATTTGAACAACGTTTATAATAATATATCTATTATCTACTTCTGCATACATGTACTGAACGCGTTGCCATTAGTGTGTAATGCGGCATTGAATATTGTACAGTCTCTCTCTCTCTCTCTTCTCTCTCTCTCTCTCTCTCTCTCTCTCTCATCCTCTCTCGTCTCGCTTCCGCTCCCCGCCCCTCGCGCTCCTCTTCTGCTCTCTCATCACCATTCCTCATCTCTCCCTCTCGTGCTCGGTCTGCTTTCTCTCTCTTCTCTCTCGCTCTCTCTCTCTCTCTCTCTCTCTCTCTCTTTCTCTCTCTTTCTATCTATTTTTCTCTCTCTCTTTCTCCATTTCCCTCTCTATTTATCTATCTCGAGCGCTCCCTGTCCTCTGTGCTCTCTTTCGCTGGCCCTTCACTGCTTCCCTGTTTCTTTCTTTCTCTCTTGCTTTCTGCCTCACCCTATATCCATCTCCTTTTTTTCCTCAATACAATCGTGCTGTTTCTGTCAAAATTTTAGCGCAGGTCTGTTGCCAAATTAGCACACGTTGTGCTGATGAATGGTTGTAGGTAGGTCGAAGCTGTTTCTGGTCATTATTGCGCAAATCAGAAATTATTACGTTTCCTTTCCCTGGTGATCATTAACGCGTGACTCAGCAGCCGACGGCGCCTGCTATATAACCTAGCAGGCCTACGCCTGTACACGCGCACATAGACACACATACACGCACACTCGCACGCACGCACACCCTTACGCGCACACGCAAACACACCCACGCGCACCCGCACGCGCACGCGTAGACCAACACACGCGTGCTCACGCAGACGCATACACGAGCGCGCATACACACATGCACACATACACACAGGCGTACGCGTGTGCGCACAGACATACACGCTCACGCACACACACACACACACACACACACACACACACACACACACACACACACACACACACACACACACACACACACACACTATTCTCACTAAGCCAATCAGCTTGATTGATAGGATAACGAGAGCGCGTCCGGTCACCGTCAATTGATGGCTATATACCTGAGCAAGCTTTACATCGCATGTACGTTAAAAGCGTCCCCGGGCGACAGGTTTGCATGCGTACACATGAGGCACGAGGCACTAGCTGTGTTCTAGATCTCACGCTGCGCTGCATTTGCTCGAATTGCGTGTTAATTATTGCACTTATTTTTGCTGCCATTGCTAACATATTCATCGGCCGCCAAACGCGCGCGCGAATAAAGCCTCTTCGTCGTACAGAAAGCTCGGACGAACGCAGTGCGTTAGCGAAAGCGGCATGTACAGCTGATTTTTTATCCTTCCAACCGCGGCAAACAATCGAAAACTTCACACACCAGGCGATGTCGTTTCACATGTTGAAACATGTCGTAAAATCCAAATGCTTTTGAAAGTGGAATGATTTAAACGATAAACAACTATTTGCAGACGGCTTAGCCGTTCAACCCATATGCTGTTAAGTACCGCTGCTATCAACAACCCTAGTTGTTTACAACATAGGAGAGCAGGATATTTGAGTACGCATGGCTGTATGTGTAAAAACAAATGCTAGGACAGACATTGAATCTGGCAGGCGTCTAATAATTTGCCGGGCCTGTCTGTTACTGCTCAAACTGTTGCTGCTGCTGATATGGTTGCTGTGTTTGTTGTTGTTGTTGTTGTTGTTGATGTTGATGTTGTTGTTGTTGTTGATGTTGTTGTTGTTGTTGTTGTTGTTGTTGTTGTTGTTGTTGCAGATGCTGCGGCTTTTGTTGCTGGTGTTGCTCCTGGTGATGTTGCTGGTTTTCTTACTGCTTCCCTCCAACTGGTACTACTGCTGTTGCTGATGCTGCTGATGGCTGTTGATGTCTGTTGTTGTTGTTGTTGTTGTTGTTGTTGTTGTTGTTGTTGTTGTTGTTGGTGGTGGTGGTGGTGGTGGTGGTGGTGGTTGTGGTGGTGGTGGTGTTGTTGATGTTGTTGATGTCTGTTGTTGTTGTTGTTGTTGTTGTTGTTGTTGTTGTTGTTGTTGTTGTTGACGCGGCGGCTGCTGCTGCTGCTGCTGCTCCTGTCTACACAGACACGCGGCGCCGCCGGGCCATGCCGCCTGCAGCCACTTGTAGATGCGCTCGCGGATGCAGGGTATGCGGTAGGCGTAGATGAGCGGTCCGCACAGCTGACTGACGTTTATCAGCATCAGCAGTGACGCATTCACATAGAAGAAGCTGAAACCGAAGCCATCGAGGGAGGCAAGAAAGACGACCGTCGGCAGCCAACTGCACGTGTACAGCACTACGATCATCAGTATCGTCTTCACCGCCTTGCTGTTGCTGCCCATGCGCCGCGCCACCGCGCCACCACCGCCGGTTGCCATGGCGACGCTGCGGTGGCGCAGCCGTCGCAGAATCAGCGCGTAGAGCACGGCTATCGCGAGCAGCGTGCAGGAGAATTCGGCCGCAGCGACATTGGCGTGGCTCGTCATGTAGGGCGCCGTCACGCACGGCCAGCTCGCGTAGATGGCGCTGTCGCCGCCGTGCTGGCTCACGAAGTCCCAGCCGACGGCGGCCGGCAGCGCCGCGTACACGCCGACGGCGACGTACAGCGCGGCGACGCACGCCCACGCCGTCTTGCGGTCAAAGACGTGCGCGTGCGGGCGCACGACCTTGAAGTAGCGGTCCAAGGACAGCAGCAGTATGTTGATCGGTAGGCCCGTGATCGTGAAGATGAGTATGTAGTCGGTCGCCCAACAGGTGGCGCTGCTCGCCGGCATCACCTTGGCGACTAGCAGTGCGAACTTTAGAGCAATGTTAATTCCGGCGAGCAGGTCGAAGACCGCGAGACTGCCGACGAAGATCAAAGCCGCGTCGAGGTTGCCAATAGACGCCAGCGCGGCGATGACGCTGCCGTTCATGGCGACGATGGCGATGGCGAACAGCAGCAGCACGGAGTAGATGATATTGAGAAATAGCTGGTAGGAGGAGGTCGCGTGGATTCTCCGTAACACCTCCTGCAGCGCCGCCATCTGCTCTGATGCTGCTGTTGCCGCTGCTGCTGTGGTAAGGTTTTCCGCTGCTGCTGCTGCTGCTGCTGCTGCTGCCATGGTGACGTTGTCTACTTCTGCTGCCATACTGACGTTGATTGCTGTTGTTGTTGCACCCGCAGCTATCTCTGCCCCTGTCGTCGCTGCGATGATGGATGAAGCCTAAACAAACTGTAACATGTGAAAGAAATTGTCAGAAAACATGTCTCTGTGTGGAAAAAATATTGCGATTGCGAGGCAATGCAGAAACAGTGGGAGAGGGGAATGGCGAGAGAGCAGAATAGCGCGATAGGTGTAGAGTAAGGGAAAAGTAGAGAGACAGAGTGAGAAGTACAGAGCGAAAAAGAGAGAGAGAGAGACAGAGAGACAGAGAGACAGAGAGAAAGAGATGGGGGCGCGAGTGAAAAATGAGAAAGCGAGAGCGGAAGCGAGAGAGGAATGAAGTGACAGGGGAAATGAGAGAAAGAGAGAGAGAGAGAGAGAGAGAGAGAGAGAGAGAGAGAGAGAGAGAGAGAGAGAGAGAGAAAGAGATGGGGGCGCGAGTGAAAAATGAGAAAACGAGAGCGGAAGCGAGAGAGAAATGAAGTGACAGGGGAAATGAGAGAAAGAGAGAGAGAGAGAGAGAGAGA